GTTTTTCAGTCATTTTGTATTATGCACGGGAAATTGACAGCCCAACCGGGTGTTGGGGCATCAATTTCCCGTTTGTAATACAAAATGACTGAAAATTGCAAATTTCGCAAGGCTATATTATCCGCATTTTACAGCATTTCGCAACGAAACTTTGGAATATTACTAATTTTGTAATGCTCCATACCTCGTACCCAGGGGTTCTGCGCTTATTGCTCTCAGAAGCCCTGGGATAATCCAACTCAGAACGTGATTTGATTGGTCAAGGCGAATACAATGAAAGTACCGCAAGTTATTCATTAACCGGGTGATATTTTGGCAACATGGCTGCTATCGCAAGGAGTGTATACAGAAGTTAAATGCTGTGTTTTGCATGAAAATACTTTTTAAGCCAAATTCTGCGCTGTTTTTGAAAAGAGCAAAAGAAGAAATGGACCATTTGTATTTGTAAATAAGCAAGAATGGCGAACAAAGTAAAAAATTTAACATAATAAAGCGAAACATTTCTCGTTCGAAAAATATTGAAATTTCAAGTATAAATCTTAAAATCTACAACTTCAACCACGATATTCAATGTAAATATTACGTAATAAAGTTTTTAATACCTTTTTTACCTTTATTTGATAAATTGTGTGTTCTATATTATTGCATTTTGTATTGGAATAGGATAAATTATTAATTATACACAAATATTTAAATTTGCAAATTATTCCCAATTTGAGGATGCATGGGTGCACTGCATCAGAGTTTGTAATAGTCCATATTTATTATTGAGTTATTAGTGCCTCTAAATCTCTAATGTACAAACATTGTCCGTATTTATTATGAGTTATTAGTGCCTCTAAATATCTAATGTACAAACATTGTCCATATTTATTATAATATTATTGAGTTATTAGTGTCTCTAAATGTCTAATGACTTATGTACAAACATTGTAATCTGTTACTTAATAGCATAAAGAAACTGTTGATAGCACATATATTAAGTGACTATTAATCAAATTGACTAAACTTTCGAATATTATATAGCATATTTCCCCCAGTATTGAGTGAATAATCTCTCGTATTTATTTTTATAATAAGCCAATATTGCCCAACTGTGAAGTAAATGTTGCCCGACTGGCCTAGTCTGCCCAACAATCGGGCCCCACCCTGTATGCCTATGGCCAAGCCTACAGGTGGACCCCCAACCGGATCGGTCGCAATTTTTCTTTCTCCAAAATTTCCCCTCCCCATGTACAAGGATTGACAATTTGACAGCTTGATTAGATTTGAAAAAAACACTGTTATATTGGGTCATTCCAGAAAACACCCATACCACCCCCACAGAGGAAATTGAAAGTTAATCCCTCCTACCCCTTTGAATGTCCTAATACATTTACAATTATCAGAAACAATTCCCCCCCCTCCCCCTCCAGACGGCAGAAATTTTTTCCGTGGGGGGAGTAGAAAAATGCTTGAGAAATGCTTTTGCACAAATTTTAAATTTTCTTACAAACACAACTCATCACTGTATGTCAGAATACTGTTGTAAGTTGCAACTAAAATCCAGAGGTCCAAAAGGCTCAAGTCAATTCCGTTGGTGTAACCAGAGGGGGGGGGGGGGAAGCCAGCCCGACAATTTGGTCATGTTATGCAAATATCAAATCATTATTATTATTCATTTCTTTGGAAATCGATTGTTTCCACGGTTTATGAACACGAAAATATTTGCATAGCATGACCAAATTGTCGGGCTGGCTACGCCACTGGGGGGTGGTCAAATATTTTAAATGTTCCGGACTTGTTTGCAATTAAGTAGAGTTGAGCATGTGTTAACTGAATGGTTATTTCAAATCACCAAAACACATTAAAATAGCCCCCCCCCCCCAAATGGCAGTTTATCAACTAGAATTTAAAAATATTTCATTGTACTATATTATACATGGATAGCTTGGGAGTCCAAATACATTTTTACATAATAACAAACTTATTCAAACTACTGCAGGCCCCTCCTGGTGATTTCAGTCCCCCTTGAAGGCTTTGATAAGAAATCCTGGCTACATCACTGCTCAATTCCATTGCCAGTGGTGTTAGCATAATTAGACAGAGTCAGTTAACAAACTAGTGTGTATTATGAAATAATCCATTGAGCACCAGTGATATATTCCAACATACAAAATCATCTGGTGTTAGATAGTCAGAGTAAAATAAAAAGTATATGTATAACCTATGGTATAACTTAATAGGTAAGGTTAATGGCCAGAACTAAATGATAAACAATATTTTATAATAAACAATATTTTGTTGAGTTGATCCCAGGGGAATGAGTGCAAACGCTCTATTGCTATTAAAATTAATAATGTTCATATAAGTGGGTATCACGTTTATGGTATACGACCAATTAACAATTTTTTTGGTAAAGCTAGTAAACTGCCTAGCTAAATGTTTAAAGTAAATATCTTTTTTAAATTGCACCAAAATAATTTTGGATCTTGAATGATTTCAGATTAGAAGCTCTTTATTTACGTGCGAGATTCACATTGTGTTCAAACCGTACTAAAAATCTGTATTTGAAGAATAAAATTATTTAAAATCAATTTTTGTTGCATAAAGCGCGCACGAAAGTAGGCTGGGGCGAGAATAATTAATTAGCATGGTGACAATTTCGTTTCCCAAGCCTGCGATCCTTGAGACGGAATAATCCTTGGGAAGGAATAATGCCTGGTTCGAAATAATCGAAATTCCCAAAATTCCTAAATTGGAAATCCTGTCATTAGAAAGCTCAAGATATGTTTTTGGGGGGTTTTGGTGGAAATATTGATGTTCGTCATGGTGGAATATAAGAATTGTGTTAGCAAGTGAATAAGAGAAATATTGCGTGTGAAACAGGATCAGTATAGAGCCGGCAGGAACCGTGAAGAGTGCTGTTGTCGAAGAAAAATGTCACAAGGATCTGCATAAACAAGACATTAACCAAGCTATCCCCACACGCATTACCTATCGTATTCCATCTAAGGTTAGAGCAAATCGTCAACAGGGTTTTCGGCCGAGTTCTGCACGCCGACGGGCAGACTGGATACAGCACCTGGATTTGGTGCACCGTATACTGAATCCTTTAATGGAAATCGCAACCCCTGTATGGCCACAACATCCTACCTACCCCCCCTTTACCACGATCACAACCCCAGGGTTCCCTGTCACCAAAACGCTAGAGATAACTCCAACATCTTATAATATCCCTGTGGTTCAACGAAATCGCAAAAATTTTGTTAGAGATCCTGTTAAGTCGAAATGCCGTAGCCACGTAAAGTTTAATTGTATTGAAATTAACACGCACCAAGTAAAGAAATGCCCTCTCCCTTCCCTCCTTGTGTCAAATGTCTGTCACATCACAAATAAGGTGACTGAACTATCTGCTGTTATTTCCAATAACAAATCAACAATAAATTTGATAGTAGAATCATGGTTAACAGACGACGTTCCCAATAGCTTTATAAATATTGGCGAGAACTACCTTATTTTTCGTCTTGATCGACCAACACCCGGGGGTGGAGTTTTAGCGTACATCGATAAATCGGTACCAGTATCTCGTCTGTCAAATCTTGAAGAAGCTGGAAAAGAGGTACTTTGGCTGCTCCTTAAACTCCACCGCTCACCGAGACCCTTTAGTGCTATCATTGTGGTCATCGTTTATTATCCACCGGGGCAGTCTGTTGAGAAAGAACATGAAATGATAAGCTACCTCACAGATGGTCTGGACAAGGTCCTTCATTCTCGTCCTTCGACAGGAATAATTATCGCTGGGGATTTTAACAAAATTAATTTAAGACGCCTATGTGACCGCTTTAACCTAAAAAAAATGGTTTCGACCCCCACAAGAGGTAATAACATCCTAGACCAGATTTTGACCAACATGGCTGACCTCTATTTACCTGCCAAACATCTACCTCCCTTGGGTCGTTCTGACCACCAATGTTTGCTGTTATCCCCCCAAAATGTCAACAAACTTCCCCCTAATTCCAAAAAAGTTAGACTACATAAACCCGAAAACAAACAAACATTGAGTAGAACTGTTGCCCTCCAAAACTGGGACAATGTTTTAATGGCAACAGATGTGGATGATAAAGTCGAAGCATTTAATAGAACGATACTCTCTTTGCTAGACAAGCTATGCCAGAAGTGACAATCCGAATGCATACATCAGATAAACCTTGGATTACCCCAAAAATAAAGGCACAGATTAAAGCTAGGCAAAAGGCTTACTGCCGTGGTGATAAACCCAAGTACGACCAATTATGTAAAAAGGTCTCAAAGTTAATTCGGAATGCAAAACAATCGGTTTATCATACCGAAGGGAGAGATCTTCGCCAAAAAGATCCTGCAAAATGGTATAAAACTGTCTATACTCTTTTGGGTGCTGAAACGAATCATAACTCTTTACAAACTCCATCTAATGAAGATCTGTCAAAGGTTGCTGAAAACCTACAAACTGCTTTTACAAACCCATGGAAAGATATCAATGTTGACCTCCCGGACATAAATGAAGTTAATCACTTACTTAAGGATACGTCACCACCGCTAACTTCCTTAGGGCAAGGACGATCCTGCCTAAAGCACCTTAACCCAAAGAAAGCAACAGGAATAGATAAAATCCCTGCCTGGTTTTTAAAGCACTGCTGTGATGATCTTACGCCAGCGATACATAGTATCATAACAGGCAGCATTACCCAATCCAAGTATCCTACTGCGTACAAGCATGCAATTGTAACTCCGGTACCAAAGATACATCAACCCAAAGATATAAACAACGATTTCAGGCAAATTTCTGTGCTTCCTCATCTAGCTAAAATGATAGAGAAAATCCAGTTGGAACTCAACTCTCATGATCTGGCAATAAAGGACAACCAACATGCTTTCGTTAAAAATCGATCCACTGTTTCAGCCCTGATCTCGATGACCCAGAAGTGGTTTGATGTAACAGATAACTCCAATATTGGAAGAAAAGGGGTCCATACCATAGAATAAGAACTGAATAGAAGTGCCACTCAAGTCGGAACCTTTGATGTAAATGGCGCCGCGCATGTCGCCTCGCGCATTTCGGCCGCCATCTTCCCAGCAAGTAAAAATGGAGGATTTCATATAAAGTTATTAGGGAGTTAACTGCAAAAATTGGATTTTCAGCGACGATTTCCTTCTAAATTATCAAAAAATGAATGATTTGTTTAAAAAGAAAGTATGTGGTCTTATCTAGTCTTATTTACAAAGAATATTTAAAGTTTTGAAGCTGTAATTTAACAATTTAGTGCGGTGTTTTTCGTGACCAAGATAGTATTCATAGTTAGGTTTGAGTAATTTTTATATTTTTGTTCGTATTCAGGCCTTAAAATATCTTTTATATGGCCGTCTGACAAAATGTCCGGTGACATTGAGTTTGGGTCGGACATATGTCCGATGACCTTCAGTTCAGTTTTGACTCGGAAATAAGTCTGAATGACACAAATGAATAAACGGTAAATGTTGTAAAGATATTAAATAATTTGTTTCTTTCATACTTATTTCCAATCCAAAATTAACTTGTTTGCCAGAACAGCAGTGTTAAAAAAGACTTCGACAACTTAAGCCCGTTTTCCACTTCACCATTTCGCTCGCCGCCCCGCGTTCGACTACGTTAAAACAATATATTTCCAGTTCACCTTTTATACAATAGTACTCTGATTTTCCATTTAACATACATGCCTCTAGTCCTAGGCTAAGGTACATTTTAATTTACGTCGGACAAAGCTACAGTTCGGTCGGACACCAATTCACGTGGGTCGGACAAACAATAAACCTCAGTTTCACTTTGGTCGGACAGAATGTCCGGTGGTTTCCTCTCTACGTCGGACAATTTCACGAATGGGTCGGACAATGTCCGTGACCGAGCAATACGGCTACAAAATATATTCTTACATGAAAATTTTGTATTGCTTTACTTAATTTTGAAAGACATCATGTTATGTCATACCGTTTCTGGTTGGTAATTTGCATATTAAATCCAACTTATCCAAGCACAATTTTAAGAAATACATGAATCATATGTATTGTTGGAAATATGCAATTGGCTGGCTGATTAGTTGATATAAGAGACTTAAGTTGATCAGTACACTTTGTTTTAAGTTTCCTCAAATTATTTAATATCCATTTTAGTTTAATATTAGTGATACTCATTACTGTTCTTGCATGCACTATATACCAGCATATCACTGATATATTTCCTTTTTTTTCAGTTTGAAAGATCACAGATGAAACAACTTCCATGATTTGAACAACTTCTACGAACATTAACTTTAATTGTAATGCAAAACTGGAATATTTTGTAATATGGAAATTTTTTGTCAATGTAGACATATGGTGACAAAATATTTGTGATGAAAATTTCTTCTATAGTAAATATACTTGTTCCACGTATCCAAGAAATTGTGCGGTTGTGCACACTTTTTTGCAGTTGTGAAAACTCACAACTGCAAAACCTCTACCTTTAAGCCTGAAAAGCACAATAGACATGCTTATGTCTCTTTCTTAATGGTTCTATTTAGCTGCTGAAGCATAATTTAAGTGAGGTCAAATACACAATTTGTGCATATTTTCAAAATTCAAAAAGTGAGAGTCATGGACACACAACCCTTAACTCTTTTGAGCATTCAAAACTTCAGCTCCAACATTTCCATGGCAACTACATATCGAATATCTCGGCAAAAGTTAGGCCATCAACGCCAATGACTCAGCTTTATGATGTATAAAACCATTGGAAAGACATATATGAAATGTTTTTTGAAGCTTTTCAAGATTAAATTGTATAAATGTATACTTAAACACAACAAAAACATCTCACATTACAGATTAGATGACAAACTGTACATGTTCTAAAGCTTGGTTCACACTACCATGGTTCACACTACCATTTTGATGGATGCGAATGGTTCATACTACCATTTTGATGGATGCGAATGTGTGAACTTGCACACAAAACTATAGAATATTTTATTGCTATTCAGAAATATATATTTCTTAGTCTAAGTAGGGCATATTGTGGCTCAATGGGTTAACCTAGAGACATGGTCAGATTTTTTGGTAAACCATTGAGCTGCAGAGCTTCCCCATTGATGAGTAAAATTGTCTGGTGTTAGATAGTCTGGCATAATGGAAGTGAACAGTTTTGTTCATGATGTATGATGCCAATAAAAACTTGCTTTCTGTTAAGATAGTAGATTATTACAAATGTTGACAGGTGACAGATATATTCATCAGTGGTATGTCTGTTACATCTGTACATCCAAAATGGTCATATAATTTATATTTATTCAACCTTCACCATATATATTAATATTACCAGGGATGGATACAGCATGATCTGGTGTGTGGGGGTGGGGGCGGGTGTGCTGCTCTGCCAGCTCTGGTGCCGAGTTGTGTCGGTGATGTGTGCTGCCCGCCCACCAACTTGCTTCGCTACTGCAAAGTCTTGCTTGACTACTGTATTTGAATTGTAATTGTTGTTCACAGTTCGCTTATTGATCATGTTATTACTGAAATGACTGTATCTCATTTTGTCTCTAATAATTTTTTGCTTTATCACGAAATATAGCAGACCCCCTGCACCCCCTCTGGCCAGGGCTAGGGGGTGTACCCCTCTGGCCAGGGTAGGTGGTGCACCCCCCCCCCAAACACCCCCCAGTAAATCCATCCCTGAATATTACTAATAACATGGATACAATACATACATTACATTATAAATATATAATACTACTGTATACTAATGACAATTGCTGTGAAAGCACCACAACAGTTAAAATCAACTACTGTGGGCCTTTTAACGACAAACATCTAGAAACAGCAGTTAATAACATAGTTCAAACTTCGACAACCTTTATAGTTTAAACACAGATTTCCATGTTCTTGCATCCTCTGCATCAATGCAGGGCTTTCGAGTAATAGTCTCCTAACAATTTCTTAAATGTATTTGTACCTTAAGAATGTGTTAGGTTCTCTTAAGTCTGCTGGAAGACAGTTTGTTACACATGAGAAGTACAAGCTCTGAAATGTGCTAGACAAAGTTCTGCTTTCTGTGGGTGGAAGGATAAAATGTTGGTACCAGATGATCTGGTTATTCTTGTGATTCTTGTGGGAATTATGGGTTTGGGGCCATGATGAGATATGTCCACCATACCATTAACTGAAATGTCTTTGGGCTATCCTTCAACCAACTTGGCTACCAAGATGTATAGATCTCATATTAAATCTGTAATGCAATAATACACATTTCCTTTGTCCCGAAGTGTTGCACACAAATACGCCATGTTTTATGAATGTCAAACAAGCCATGAACCCAACTGACTCAATATTCTAAAAATTAATTTTGGCTGCCAATCAGCCCATTGAAATAATCTCTTCTTTGATTCTTTCCCTGAAATCAGTCCATTTCTCATACTGATCATTGCCTCATTGGGTTCCATCAGCTGTATACAAGACACAAATAGATAAATTTCAAGTACAATATTAAAAACATCGACAATAGCGTTTGGTTGCCTGCTGCTATTTTAAATACAAGAATAGAGTTTCCTTAATAAAGCTCTAGAACTCAGGCATTGTCTTCAGTGCCATCAGTGATATATTTAATACATGTCTGCAAATTGCAGAGAAATTAACTTACAAAGACTTTTCTCGTGACTAAATACTAAGCAGTTAGATCTAGTGTAATGGTCCAAACATTAAATGAACATTCCCATGCATAAAATTGTCAAAGACAGTTATAAAACTTACTTGATTCGAAAACGCTTGAAATTCATATAATTGAATCGATTATTGTTCGACACTCACGCCCGTTTTATCCAGTATAAATGCGCGGAATTTCATCCATTACACCTTATTATCATTTAGAAATGTGTGTTCTTTCATCCTCTATAATTTTTATGGCGATTCGATGAAATTTGAGCGTTTTATTGAAGTTTCCTTGCATCGACTCGGTGTTTCGCCATACAATTTACTATTAGCTTGCTGCGGTTTTACTTGCTAGGAAGATGGCCGACCTAACGCATGCGCAGTGGAAAAAAGGTGACATGTCGCACACTAGAGTGGGACTTCTGTATAGTTCCTTATTCTGTGGTCCATACTACGTTTTTGGACTTCAAAAAAGCATTCGACCTTGTCGACCATAGAATTCTATTAATAAAATTAGCGGAAATGAATGTATCGAAGGCCTTCTGGTCGTGGGTGAAGTGTTTCCTTACAGAGCGGACTCAACATGTGAATTTACATGGTGTTATATCCTCAAGCGCCCCCTGTCCAGCTGGAGTCCCGCAAGGCTCCGTTATTTCCCCAACACTGTTCAATATTTATATTAATGATTTGGAAAACACGTTAACAAACAACTTTACAAACACGCACAAGTATGCAGACGACTGCACTCTTGATGAGGTCGTTGCAAACGGAGCCCTTTCAAATGTGCAGGAATCGACTAATCAAGTGATGAATTGGGCCAATGATAATAAAATGGTGGTGAATCCCAAAAAAACTAAGGACATGTGGATCAGTTTTTCCCAATCCTCTCCTGAACCCCCACCTATACAAACGGATGGAATTGAAATAGAAAGAGTAAACTCCTTCAAACTTCTCGGTGTATGGGTGCAAAATGATTTAAAGTGGAATACCCATGTTTGTAAAACAACAAAAAGAGCAAATAAGCTATTATTCCTTCTCAGAGAGTGTAGGAAATACTTCCTACCACCCGAGATTGGTTTATTAACATATACGTCGAAGATCCGGCCAATACTTGAATACGCCTCTCCAGTTTGGGGTGGAATCCCTAAATATCTTGATGTAGAAATTGAACGTGTTCAACAAAGAAGCTTGAGAATCCTAGGATTGGAGACATGCAACGAGCTGAAAAGGATCGTGGAAGTCCCAAACAACCAATGTAATCGTTTCCTATCTGGTAATAAGAATCACACTTACGAACTAGAAGGACTAGAGACAGCACTCCAAGACAGCTCTCAAAAACACACAGGCATAGTACGTCTTTTATCCCAAGGGCGTGTAGATTAACCAACTCATGAAATTAGATCATTGTACATATGTATATAAAACTTTTTAAATTTTCTAAGTTTTACATCCTCATAGGTTATATATGTATTTTAGTATAATATTTTTAACTTGTAAATCCATTGTATTTCTATATGCCAAAGATGGATATCTAATAATAAAATTGAAAATTGAACAATTAATTGTAATCATGTCCATTCACTTTCTGTGTCAGTGTTAAATAACACAAAGTAATAAAAGTTATTAACTATTTCTAAACCAACTAATATCGTAAAGCTATATGTATTTACATAAAGCCTGGCGCAGACTGGACCTATCAGCTGAGCTGAGCGTCACTCGTGACTGTTGGCGTAAGCAAGTTCCCCCAGTGTGCGGTGGCGTTTTGAGCGATTTCAGTCACGCGTACCATCGGCACTGAATATTCAACATGTTGAATAATTTCAGTCACGAATGAACATTTCCTCCAAGTGTGCGTGCTCGAAAAGCTATCACCTTTCATTGTAGATCGAATAGGCATGCATAATAAAACGTAAGACAAAAGGAAAATAATTAATGAGGAATGTGATACTCGAGTAGAGACATATGAATATTCGTCATAATTATTTTCCTTTTGTTTTACGTTTTATTACGCATGCCTATTCGATCTACAATGAAAGGTGATAGCTTTTCGAGCCCGCACACTTGGAAGAAATGTTCGTTCGTGACTGAAATTATTCAACACGTTGAATATTCGGTGTCGATGGCACGCGTGGCTGAAATCGCTCAAAACGCCACCACACACTGGGGGAACTTGCTTACGCCAACAGTCACGAGTGACGCTCAGCTCGGCTGATAGCTCCAGTGTGCGCCGGGCTTAACGCCTTTAATTTAAGGCCGTTTTCACTTCAATCGTATCGTACCGAAGCTTAGCGTATTTCTTTGTTTTCTGAGCACTAATTAGGGACTACAGATTTCAATACAAAAGAAAATGCTACGTTACGTTACGTTACGTTACGTTACGATACTGTTGAAGTGGAAGACAGCCTTTATAACCACTTCATTAGTTCGAAGCCGTTTGGCCTGTTCCATATGATGTCACGAACTATTCTTACTTAAAGTCTGGTTTACACCAGTGAGATAAGTACAAACATAAGGAACGATATGCAGTAAAGCTTGCGAATAACATTTGACATAAGCACAAGCTTAAGGCACAAGCCTCTAAGCATTTAAGCTACGGGAAACAAAAGAAAATTGTGTCCGCCTTGTGTTTTTAAATCCCAAAGGTAAAATGTGTTTTTTTTGTATTCCAGTTTGTGGTTATCTCGTTCCTGTGAACTAGGTTTCAGTGTTGTTCAAAATAAGTAATTTCAGAAGGGATTTTCAATCAACGATAAGACAATGAGCATCCAGTACGTCAGTTGTGACTGAATAGCGTTATAATTTTTTTTATAATTTTGCAAAGGTTCATACACAAACAATGCATTAAATCGTGTAATCATGCATGTCTGAGCACATACATCTCCGGAACATTTTTTGTCATTTCAATTTCGTACTAGCTGGTGTCAAAAGGAGGTGGCGAAACAACATTTCAAAATGTATTCACAAAGGTTAGTTGATTTCAATTAATAACATTTACCAGTCCCGTTTACTTGTAGAGCTATACATCAGATAACACGAGGAAAAAGTCGTTTTGACATTTAAACACAATACCCTTGAGTGAAAATCTATGCTGTCGAACGAAAAGGAAGAGAGTTAGATGCTAGATATATATATGTATCTTCCCAATATCAATTTTTCTACATTATTCAGTATGATGTATTCGTTCAAACAGCGCCAGTTGGCAAATTAGCTTCATTCCTCGGGTATGGATAAACTCGTAACCGTCCTCAAATTAGCAAGATCTCGCATGTAACCACAGAACAGTATAAAGACATAAAGATTACTTTGACGGCAAAATATGCTATAAAACATTTCGTAAATGATCGCCCGGAATTATCAACTTCAGAAGACGAATTACGCCCAGATTATAAAAAGGCGTGATATAGACCCAAAATCATCATTCCTGAGGTTCAATATTAAATCGGTTACGTAGCCTCGGGGAAGAGTGTTCAGGGAACGCGTTAGTTCTTTACGTTTGTTTGATATTGATGACCACACTTGTGAGCGACTATTAGGAACCGTTAACGCTGACGATTAATGGTTTCCATGCTTTCAGCCATGTGCAATCAACTGACCAAAATAGAGACCGATTCGAGATCGACCGATTCACGCGTTACAACATAAAGCTAATACAGTGGCGTAATTAGAGCGTTAATTGTGGGGGGGGGGTATATTCATGTATTCGTGTTCTGCCCGACTAATTTCTTTCGAAATGAACTTAAAAACAAAGAAATTTAAAAGAAATTCGTCGGGCGGAACACGAATATACTAATATACCCCCCCCCCCCCAATTAACGCTCTAGTTACGCCTCTGAGCTAATACCATCCTTGATAAGCTGGCATTTCTGCGCTCATTAGCCCTACTTCATTTGGTTTTTGTGCATGCACACGCCGGTTTTGAGATCGCTTTTATTTAAACGATCTCAATTAAAGAGTGCTAAAAGTTAACGGCCATTTGGAACATTTCAACACTATACTAATTGTTTTTCGAACAGACAACATTCAAAAATGGAGTTCTGTGGTCACTGCAACTATACGAATTATTATGAATTGATTGAAAATGTGTAAATCTTCGTACAGTATGTATATTCAGAATCAATTGCTTCTTCTAGTCCAACTTAGGGACCGGTCATTATTTATGGAAGGGGGGGGGAGGGAGAAATAAGGGGGCATATCTATAATATAAATGACTGGAAGGGGTGACCTATTATATTTTATCTAGAAAATGAGGGGTGGTGCAATTAAATTTGAAGGAATTTGCTTAATAGGCGTGGTATCCATTTAGTTGTAAATGTTGCGACCAAATCATGATTGATCACTGATGTGAAATAGTTTGGATTTATCTTGTCTTCTGTGTGCTGTATGAAAACCAGTCTTTACTGATTGTAGAGATAAATTGACGATGTATTATTACATCAGATATCTTAATGTGGTTAAATACATTTACGCAAGGTTAACGGCGGATGTATTACTGTACGCAGGCCACATCGGCTGAGGGGAGTCTGTGACATCATATCGATCACAGAGGGTTGTTTAGCACGTTGTAATCAGTGCTTCGATCTGGGTATTCATTCTGCCATTGTATGCTTTGCCTAGCTGCAGCAAGTTTAGCGCTTAGATACCTTTTCCCTAAAACCCACCCATGTTTATTCTAGAGGATTTTCTCCGGTAGTATGTCATTTTATTAGATAGTATATCATATAGACCACTATACCTTGTATTTCGTTTCCACTGACTTGTCAGTGGACTGGTGCCGGAGGTATGCCTTGACAGAATTGTCATGGCTATCTTCTTTTGATGCTAATATTACTGATTGTTACTTTCATTGTTGCTGCGCAGCTGCTATGGCAATACTTCGTGCCATCAAGTCTATAGTCGCAGCCTTGGACCACAAACGGCACCTGCCTCCAAAGAGCAATACTCTGCCGTTAAACATGGTTACAATAGCCCGGACGGACCAAATGGAAACCTGATTTTAGTGTTACATATGAAAATACTCCTATTTTAATTATAATTTTCTGCTAATATATATTTTTGGTCGACGTTAATATCTTGTCAGTTGCATATTCGTATGCAATAATTAACACTATAACGCCTGGGAATCCATCCCCATTTGACGAGTAAAAATGAAAATGGGGGGGGGTCAAAGAAAAATATTCTAATATGCAGGGGGGTCATGATTAAATTTCTTCTCTTTTAAGAGGGGGTTTCAATTTTAAAAATTTAGGAAAGAAACATGTCCCCTCGCCCGTTCCATACATAATAACCGGTCGCTTATTACAATTTTGTTCCGACAGCGAAAAAAATCACACTTACTATTGGTATATTCATTGAACGTTCCTAATTTATATCAACATTAAAAAAAGTTTAATTAATGTTAATTTGCACACCTCGCGTATATTGTTTAAATTGTATTTGAATTGCAGGGAAATAATAAACAAGCTCATCAAAACTAGAAACATCAAGATTGTCTTAATTTTACAATCGTTCATCACCACCATCGCCATCATCTACATGATGATACAGACATCAAATTTGGATCAAATCTCAATATTGGAAGGTAACATGTAAACCCATGCATTGTACTCTATAATTGAGGTATGAATGGTGCATCTATTTTCCTGCAGAATGAAGGCAATGCCGGCAATATTGGCGTGATTGGCATGCACAATCTATTGCATGTGATGTTGCACAGGACGAAAAAATAGATTTGCTTCAACTTTGCATGCAACCCCCTGCAAAGGTACCATTGCCGTAATCGCATCAAATTTGCTATTGCGCAAATTTTGTTCAAATTTGGAAAGCAAATTGGTAAATAAATTTTTACCCTCATATTGGTAAATACAATTCTCTTTTTTGAGAGGGAATGGGTATAGGATAAATTTGGCTCAAATTTGTGGGTATTTTCGTCCATAATTTGGTTTCTAAATTTGCCAAAATATTTGCAACCTTGCAAATTTGATGCGATTACGGCAATGGCACCTTTGCACCGGGTTGCAAAGCCTAGTGCAAATCTGTTTTTTCGCCCTGTGTTGCCGACTCTTTATACGTTAATTCTTAAAATTATTTTTATAGGAAACTACAGGCATTGTGGTGTAAAAGATTGCTTTCCAGTCTCCCCTTTTCGCCTTAAATTTTCCAGTGAATAACTAATGTGTCGTGTAAATATAGGCGCAAGAAGTCTTTTTGTTTGAATGGCGGAATGATTTGAAAACAGCGCAGATATGTCACAATAGACAATTTCCATCATAGACTAATTATAAAACTAGGCAAGGAGATGCAAATAAATCACAACAGCTAGAAAGAGCATACTTATATAAAAATAGTAAAATTGCAAGGTTTGGTTGCGAAATGTTCTAATTAAAAAATGCAGAAAATATCGCCTTGCAAATTTGCAAATTTTGTATACTTTTTTATTGCGAGCGGAAATTCCTACCACATTTGTAAAGTTATATTTTCCGCAATTTTACTAATTTTAGTATGCTCTTTCTAGCTGTGGCGATTTGTTTGCATTTCCTTGTCTAGTTTTAAAATTAGTCTATAATGGGAATTGTATATTTAGCCGTCGCGGCACACTGCCACGCCTGTGTGAAATTGTTTGAAAACATCACTTTTACCGCAACAATTTGAGCACGGAAGTACATGGTATCGTGCAGTGATACCGTCTTTGTCTTTTACAACTTTAGTATTTTTTCGTTAATTTCTTATTATATTTCAATTTTTTTATCATTGTTCTATTATTTTTTATCTCTAACGGCTTAGTGTAAACAGACGTAGAACGTAACGTCGTCATTTCGCTCCGGCGTAGTTTAACGTACTACGTAGTCTTGATAAAACAAAGGCGACGAGAGTCGGTGCGAGACCTATTATTTAGACATGTCTACTCGTTAATTAGTTAGAAACTCAGCGTTTACGTGTCATGGAAGTGTTAAAAGTTCCGTCTAGAGCTAATACGTGCCTTGTCCTCCTTTCAGTAACTTCAGAAACATTCTGATCACGTCAAAAGGGCGTAGCGACTAGGGAGTGTCTCATCACGGGTGTTGGGGGAGGGAGTTCCTGCCTTAGTTTTGGTGAGGAAATCTACGTGACTTTTGCAAGGTTCATTCGAGCTCGAGATCCATGCTATATGTTCTCAACATTCTCAAGAAATAAGTTGTTGTCAAGTACTCTCTGCTCCCCTTCGTTCAAGCAACACCATGCAACCAATATACGGACGCAGTTGGTTTCATTTTTATGTATATAGTAGATGCACGACCCATCTTATTTTTCACTACATGCCGTAGTTATGCTACATTATTATTACTGATAGAGCGAGCGAATGCAGGATGCCAAGGCTGCTGTACGATGAGGAGAGAAAGTCTGGATGCCATTACAAGTGAACCACAGTTATCTGAAAAACTTCATAAAATTTCTCGAGCTATCAGAAATTATGAAATACCAGACTATATCTTAAAGATACTTCATGAGGGTGAGAGAAAATTGGAGGAATTTGAAAATGAATTGGAGCGATTGAAACAAGTAAGGTGTTGCTTTCAACTATATCATTTGTGTAACACTGCGAGCCATGCGCCCTCTATTTTAGCCATTTGTGTCAATAGAAATGTTTACCCTCACTCATTTGACACGACTAAAATTGGTTGTAAAACAGAAGAAAATTTTAAATTCACTTTTAATAATCTTACTCCTCTACGGATCTTTCATATCTTCCCTTGAAGTTTTTTGACTGAAACCAACGAGCTGTCTGCAATGTTGCAGTTTAAATCTGGTTGGCGTATTGAACCCAAGAGCGCCGGAATCACCATGAAGCGATGGGTACTAGTTTTAAGGGAGGAATGTTCGCTAAAATTTCAAACTTCTAAGACCTAAATATTTCATGATTTTCATGATTTAAATAACAGTGTAAAAAGTTTTAAAAGAAAAAATTTTTTAAAAAGTTAGATTTTCAAAAAAATTTAAAAAGTTAGATTAGGGTTAGGGGTTAGTGGTTAGGGTTGGGGTTGGGGTTGGGGTTGGGTTAGTGTTAGCGGTTAGATGCCGTCAATTTAACGCGAATTTATCATAATTAGAGCTCATGCTGTGTAAGAAAGGCAAGCTGCCGCTTTTGCTTGTGGATCCAACACATAGCCGTTTTATCTTTTAAAAGGCTCCTGAACCACGACTGTTTAACGTGTTGTACCGTAGCAAATAACAGTTGAGCATGTTTTGAAGTGTTATTGTTAAAATCATCGTCCAACTTCAAAGCTGCAATGCCATAGTAGCCTCAGCTATCTGGTCTTGAATTATACTTTCAACAAGACGCCCGTATGTTTATTTTAATGAATATATTTTGCGTGTTTCTACAATACATATGGAGACATTGTAATAACAACTGTCCCAAGTGCTTTTAAAATAACGCTAGCCGGCAAGCCAAGGGGCTCTATTAATGAAACACCCTTGTGCTATTAAGCAGACTCTATTTTTACACAAAAACACGTATTGATTAGAATAACTTACCATATATCATCAACCTCGTACCCAGAGCTTCTGCGCTTATTGTTCTCTCTCTCTCTCTTCTGAGAGCAATATATAAGCGCAGAAGCCATGGGTACGAGGTTGATATATCATTTGTTAGATTTATCTGGCTTAAGCCAACTTCGAGAACACTGGAAACCAGGCTTAAGCAAATATATTCAAATTTATGGCAAGTCCACATTTAATAGACCCCTCCCCTTCTAGCCATTTATTTATGCTCATTGCCCCCATCTTTTGCCCCTCCCCGCCATCCTCTTCCATAAATAAGGACTGGTCCCTAACTGCAGGGAAAATATGTGCACTTCACAGAACATTTATAACAATTTTTATATATTACTTTCGCCTGATCAGGCTGGGTAACCACAACAGAAGTTACCAATAGGCCCTTTCAAGGTATCTTGCATGTCAGGCTCGATGCTTGAAATAGAGACTGAAGTCAATAAAAAGTGGATAGTGATTTGGATGCACGAAAATAACAACCAATCAAAAGGGCGATTGTTAATTATGTATCAGTCAATTCCAGCATAAGTGCCCATCCCCCACAGCTCCGAGTGACTAAATGACTAATTAACAATTGGTAAATAGTGTTCACAAGCCATTTGCAAACGAATTCAATATCTTGTCCAGGAATATCTGCCAAATTCGCCATGATGGAAAACATCGAAATACTCACCCCAGGGGTAAAAATATCGGCAATAGCCGCACCCCCGGGATTAGGAAAAGCTTCAAAGGCCCGGAGGTGGGGGGATGGAAACTGCTGGAATTGCCTGAAGGGGTATTAGATTATCAAAGGTGATTTATAATCTGACAATGACGGCAATCTTTTCCGCCAATATCTCAAACATAAATATTCCAATTTTCATTAAATGGCCAGGAATTACATAGTACAAGTACGGAACATTCATTACGTAAACAACAATTTCATATTACCTTAAAAAGCAAAGCTATTTATTTCTGACCAATGGGAATTTTGCGTACGAAATCAAATGCATAAGTTCACTTTTTATTGACCTCAGAAGCATGCTTTATTTCAAGCATATATCCTGACACGCCAGTTACTTTTAATAACCCATTAAGTTGCATTCCTCCCCTACTTAATTTCAATATATTGTTTTCACCATTGTGTTTACAACCCTTGCAAGTTTACCTATAGGGAATTCCATTGTGTTTGTAGCCCTTGCACTATTGTGTTTCATTGTGGCATCTTGAACTTGAAACTTGAAAGAACCTATTACTGTGCCCCCCGTTAAAATTTCCCCGTTAGGAACACAATACATTGATCATGAAGTGACTGAAATATTACAGATTTACAAGCCAGACAACCAGCGGCAAAGTTTAAATTTCACACAAGTAGTGATCAATGATGATCACTGTGGTTGTATTTCGGTCTTGTTAGGCTACACCATGTTCTTTTGCATGACCGCCTATCCGCATCAGGATTATTTTCATCAAGAGCCGTAGAGAAAGTGTCCAAATACTAACGGGAATTTGCGAATTTTAATATTGTTGCGATTTGCAAAGGTTACCGTTCAAACTTTGTAAAATTGAAAATTGTGAACTGTTGTCCTTTATTTGAAGGTTATAGCCTTCCAAGTTTACTCACATATAATGACTTTCGCTTTCTGGTTCATCGGAAAACGTTTAAGTTTCATCGGAAAAATAAAAAATATATGTACAAAATCGAAAAAATTGATACTAAATTCGCTCGGAGTAAGCGGCCATCTTGAAGCCAGCGACGAATACATATTAATGAGGTAATTTTTATTTTTTTATTACGGACGTAATGTTCATTTTGTGGCTAACGATCCAAGATCCGACACAAATGCGTGCCGAGACTTATAGTGACTGAGGGCTGTGCCCCAGCGACTAACTAAAAGACAAACAACAAGAAAACTATAAGAAATATTCCATCCCTGATCGTGCTGGCGTATAGCAAACTTTGATTTGGCGATAATCTATAATTGAAAGATCAAATTTTTTCCGTATCCCGTAGCGTAGGAAGAATCGCGATAACGTCTTCACCACGTAGATCGTAGCAAATTAATAATACACTTCTCTGTTCTGGTTTCAACTGAATTTCGAAATCTGAAAAACTAGTTTAAAATATCAGAAACTGTTTCCTTCAAAGCATTAATAGCCATATTTTTCCCAAGCCAACGGCGCGGCGCGTCGTCCCGTGCGTAAACCTGGGGCGAGAGTACTAATTCCGCCCGGCTATTTACACCCAGGGAGAGGAAAGCATTAGCGAAGTCTAAAGTTCATCAATGATCGCGGGCGTGGGTCACTGATCTCAAAATATGGCTGTTTGCCAGGAGTGAAGAAGGCAAAAATATAAAAAGTACATGTAAGAAAGCCGGGAAAATCGTTTCACATAACAAATTTTAAAACTTTTTTTATATTTTAAACGTAAACATTGGAAGAATTGATTTAGTATGAGAAATCCGAAAGTATAGGGCAAGTTTGTTTCAATTGTTTATGTGTGACTTTGTACTAATATTAAATAAATATATACTTTGTTCTTGTTGTTCAAGTCTTTCCTGTGGCTGGCTATGCATTGTATCCCAAAGTTTCATATTTAAATTAACTTTTGTAGAAGTTTTTGATAAAAAGGAAAGCAAATTATGTTCATAAGCGTCCTGTGCGAATTAAATTATTTCATTTCAAAGTGCGAGTAATAAGTCGAAGCTCGGGTTGAAGAGTTTATTTATATGGGGAAAAAGCAGTTAATTTCAATTCACATTTAAAAACGTTTTACATAAAGTTTCGTTTTGATTTTATTTGCTTTATTTTAGTAACATTAAAATAAAGCCAAAAGAAAGCAAACTAATATACCTACTTTATGTATTTTATTAATTGATAGTTCTGTATTTGAAAGTGTTCAAGTTTCATCTACTTTTTCCAGGTTTGTACAAAAAGTTTAGAAAACAATTATCGTGTTGCCATGATAAACATGATGTACAACGCGAGTCCGCGTTCAGTGTTGGCATAATTACGAATACTTCGTGTTGAAACAATATTTGGAAAATGTAGGCGTGGGTGGGGTCGTTGCATGCATGTATTTCTTGTTATGAGAATATATACGCAGGCAAAATTATTGCTGACATTTGAGTTACGTAATTACTTCCGTCAACGAGATTAATTGACCAATGACAATTAAATACTAGGTTTTTCCGGACAAAAACATATTATAGCCATAGCCATTTGGGCAGGCGTTTATTTAACGACGCCCTCTCTTCTTCCTCCCGCACTAAATGCCTCATATCCTTTTATTTGTAATGCAGTTAGAAAGGCCTGTTTTTTTTGTCAATTTTCGCTGGCATCCGTTAATCGCTTATATATGCGTCGCAATATTAAGGCAGACATATTTTATGCCTAACATATCCAGTATAATGAGCGTTCAAATTTCAAGAGCCAAATTTCTTCATTTAAATAGATTGATCTTAATCGTCTGTCTAAGCTTCAAGAATTTTTCATTGAGGAAGACACAACCACAGATCAAGACTTAATCCCAAAATCAAAACCAAAATGGAACCAAAAGAGATTATACAGTGATTCAAGTTGGGAAAAGAAAAGTTAGTTCTGACTTGGAAGTTGCGTTGAAAGAAAAACATTCTCTAATTGACGTACAATGTATGAAATCCTTTTATATTGTATTTCTGGACAATAATCTTCATGCAATTTGATTGTACATTGTTACTATAACCCAATATAGTGGTGGCAAATGTATATTAGTTAATGAATTAGGACTTCTAAAGTTGAAACTTTGTATTGAGTTAATTTAATGAGTTCCGTTCTTCGCTGATAGTTTGACATTTTTTTAGTTTTGGCAGCTTTTTTATAGACGTTCCCGCAAGGTATTTTTCCATCACATTGAAGAATTTCGGAGCTAGCCTTAATTCTTGCAATTCAGCCGCCGTGATAGAGTGCTTTTCATCTTTAAAAGTCACCAGGTCGTAATATTAACAGCACAAAGAGTTTTGGCGTATTAACTTTGTGTTATCCAAACTTAATTCGTGATAGACGAGGTTTTCCAACAAAGTTTTGTCCATTTCGTCTGCTTTGAACGATGATTTTCTGAGTTTTCCTTCATCTTTTCAGCTAATTAATATTCACGGTGATTATTAAAAATAATCACCTCCTTACGTGGAAGAACACCGACTCAAACAATAATTAAATATAGGATAAAAACCGAATTGGAGGTCTTTCGTTGAAATTCCTACCTACTACGCCGATTTTTCATTTTCTCTACCTGCCACACCCATTTTCCATTGTTCTCGATTAGTTTTGGCTTCCGACTAAAGACAGGTTCTGAAAGCTGGGCGCGGTGTTTTATTTCTAGAGGGAAGAGCGAGGCTGAAAATGTAAAACCCGGTATGAGTCTCATCAACTCTCATCAACTTTAAGCCGGTATAAATTTTGATCAGAATCAATGAGAGTTGACGAGAGTGTTCGCTCATTTGATTAGTAATATCCAGTCAACTCTTATCAACTCTCATGCAATCCTTGTTCTCATTTGAGAACATTTTCATGCGCGCAAACTGTCGTTTAGCAAGAGGTCAAGGAAATTAATAAAATATATTAAAGACGATTCCAAGAGTTAATAGCATAGGATACCTTTAAATTCACTGCAAAAAATTGTGAGTGTTTGGATGAAAAACTTATTTAAAAGAACACACGCACAGTGACTCAAAATGTTTACTAAATTCCTCAAAATATATTAGGAAATTTTCTCAAGGTTTCTAGTAACTAACGTTTCAAATTTTTTTTAACAGTCCAAATCCAGAAAAATAGTCTATTATTTGGAAGAATGAATGGTCTAGGTACTGAACTTGTTGTCTTGTCGCGCCATGAGCCATGTATTTATTAATTAATTAGAGTTTAATTATTCATTTTATGTGCAATTACAAAATATTGATAGTTGCAGACATTGGGATGAATATTTCCTAAATTAAGACTATGATTGAATCCTGCCATCAATATTGTCCTGCATTGGTTAAATTCTTCTGTGTATAATCGTGACAAATCAGGAGACATTATAATTAAAGCGTCTGTAGTTAATCTTGACAAATAAATCGCATGTGTGTGTATTAATACTTTACTAGACAAACTATAAATAAAATATCACGCATGATTTGTTCCCAGAACCATTGCCTGTATAGATCGGGGTATTCTAGATTTCTCGCCCGGTTCACTGACATGATACTGCTGATCCTCATCTATTATAACCTGCAATATATATAATTTATAGTATAATATATAATATTATATATATATATATATATATATATATATATATATATATATATATATATATATATATATATATATATATATATATATATATATTATATATACATTATGTATACATTATGTATACTGTATAATATATATGTGATTGGTGACGCGTCATAAGCTCATATTGCAATTATATTAGCTACATTATGTAGACAAGAATGGGGAAATTGTTTTGTAATGAAGAACAGATCATTGTATGAAATATATTCAAATTGTTACATGTATTGTAGCTTACACTGAAAATCATTTCAAATATAAACACAGCTTCATATCATTATATTTCAAATACAAAATTCGCAGCATTTTAAATTAAAACCCGCACACCTAGCCACAGCCTGCTTCAATACCACAGCCTGCTGTAACACATTATACATATCCAAAAGTGAGACAAACCAGACACAGTACTGAAATGCGGCGCTCGCCTACAAATAAACTTTCGGCATTTCCGCCTACAAGTAAAGTTATATAAAGTAAGCTACATTCTCC